CGTAAGATGGTTGAGCTAGGATACTAGTTTCAGAATTTGTTAAGCTTTGACCGACAAAGTTCTTAAAGATTCATAACAGCCATGCCTTCATTTAACACAAGAACTCTCTTTGGGTTTTCTGGTTGAGGGATGGTCACGTAGCTGGATACCTTCGACAACTGATTAGAAGGTTTCAGAAAAATGAGATAAGGATCCATGTGGATATGTTGCACATGTGTACGAACCTTTTGTCAAATTTATCCTCTATGATGCTTTTTGCAGCTATATCTTTCTAAATGTTTGGTTAACAAACAATTTGGTTATTGGTTTTGGTTAGGGATCTCTAGTTTTTTGGGTTTGAATTTTGAAAAAAATATACAAATTTGGATTTAGTTGAGTTAGCAAATCAGTTCGGATTTAGTTCAGTTAGCAAATCAGTCATGTTGAAAAAATATCACTACCTGTTAAAGACATAATTAAGTATATAAAAGTGCGCGCGCTCTAGCAACTTAAGCTTTTACATGAGATAGTTAAGCAGTTCAATGTGGTAACAGAGCAAGCAGAAGTCCTGAAGTCCTGGGTTCAAGTCTTATCGCTACCTATTATTTAAAAAATCCACGTGCTTGACTTCTGAAAAAGAATCAGGTCTGCACCTGAAGGGACATTTCAAAGGTTTAATTAAGTAAATAGAAGTGTGCTCTTTCTTACGGCTTAAGTTTTTAGATGAGATGGTCATATATTTCAACAAAACCTCAAACTTTATACTCACTTTATATAGGTGAATTTTGGCAGATCAAAACTGGCGCACATGTTTATTTGCTACTAAACGTGTTTCATTAGAATGGGAGAAAAAGAAACTGTTCAAAAGCAAAAAGAATTGTTTGGTTATTCTGACAGTGGCCCTTTGTTTCAGCCAAAGCTGGACCTTGAGCTGTTCTTTGGTCGTGGTTTTGTTTCTCAAACCAACTTGTGTTGGTTCCAGAAAACATAATTTTCAGAATCATCTAGAAAATTGTTTGGTTGGCTCATCTTCGAATTGTTAAGATTTAGCCTAGTAAATTAGAGTGCCATACTTGCAAGGACTGATACATGGGCTTTGGTGCAGGTTTTCCGATACAACCTTATTGTCCCCTTTGGCCGCCAAATGTTTGTACTCAAGTGGGAGAAGGAAATTGACAGGCTAAACGAGGAAAGTGCAGGGAGCTGAAAATTGTCTGGGTCTTGTTGCTAGTAGAGTCTATACGTGGAACGTCTATGTACAAGGGTGGTTTCTTCTTCTTGCCTCTTGTTCTCTTCTTTCTAGCTCCTAGTCCAGTGTTATGAGAATTAAGGGTTCTCAGTCTGTTGGCTTTCTGGTGTAGCCACTGTAGTCTCTGGCTTATAAGTTTGATCAAAGGTTTAATAACATTCCTATAGCATCTTGCTCGATACAACAGCACAAGTTTGAAAAACTGAATAGGAAAGGTATGGCTGTTATTTTGTTTCTGTTTGAGCTCCTTTTTGTTGGCTCTAACTCTTTTTGATAATACAATGAGAAACCTATAAAGCGTATAGGGGATCAAAAATTGAAGGATGAATGTGAATAAGATATAAACCGTAGGATATTTTTTCCTTCTCATCAATCTGTTTAGATTTTTAGAGAAGTTTGGGTCGCTGTTGATTGTTGACTACTGATTATGAAGCGCGAGAGAATATTAAAATATTTTTGCTAACTTTTATTAAAAGAAATTTATCTTCATTAAATTGGTAAATGACCTTGTACAACATGTACAAAGGAAGGAATAGATAGGGAATTCATGGAGGGGGAAGAAGAAGTGAAACAGAATGAGTGTAAGTAAAGACTTTTGCCGGAGAATTTTGGACTATCAAGTAACGCTTGTGGCTTTTGTTGGTGACTGTTGGACTCTCCAGTAACAGTTGTTTCTCTTTTGATTAGAGTCGTGCCTTTTCGTATAATTGAACCCTAAAATAGAAATAAAAGCTTAAAAATTTGAGAAATTAGATAAATGTAATTCCTGTGCAATGACACATGCCACGTCACATTTAAAAACCCCTACTTTATAATTATATATATATATATATATATAGACTAGTCTTCGGTAACGTACGTGCGCGCGCACACATATATATATAGAGAGAGAGACTAGTCTCCGGTAATGTGTGTTGCACGTTTGTTCCCTATCATTATTATAAAATATCGACAAATTTAAAAAAATATTAAGTTATGAAAGAGGAAATGCTGCAACTAATAAAAAATATCAATTTTACCATTTAAATTTTATTCATTAAATAAAATCCGTAATAGTGGAGTGGTGTATTTTTCATTTAGCAAGAAGTGTTTGAAGCTAATTAAGATAATATAACCTCTAATGGTACAAATATGTTGATGAATTCCTGCTCTAAATTTAATAAACGCATGTAAATTGTCTTAACATAATTAGGAAAGACATGAAGAAATATACATTTCAACCAAACCTGCAAACAAAGCATAATGACTATACATTTATCTTCGCCCCATACGTCCAAAAGTAGAATTGTTCGTTCAGATTTATAAATACTTCCTCAGAAGTAGAAATGAAAATAAAATTATAATAAAATCTTACTTGCACTCACTAATTAAATATTTCACTTTACTCTGCCAAGTACTCACAATTATACACCAAAATTTGAATCACGTAGTCTCAGAAGATAACAATAAAGGAAATAAATACAAGAAAACATAGAATGAGACTAAAGTTATAACACCACAATGGGAAAAAAATACATATTGATGTACTAAAAAAATTACGATACCACTAAATACTGTAATTTAAAAGAATTGACAACTGAATAGTTAATCATGACACAATACAAGAATTATGTATACAAACACACTAAATTGCCTTGGCCTCGACAATAATGCTAGGACTCTAAACTCGATGGAAAATATAGAGCATATACAACAATATATGAATAAGGCCTTCTGAATTTCCATTGCCCAACTCCTCGATAATCAAGATGATTAGTCACTTGTCATTGTCAGTAAATAGCCAATAATGTTATTGTAAATAAATGAAAAAAATATTATTTTCACATGGCACAATTCACATAAAAATTTTGTAAGGTATTTGTACTTATAAGCCAAAAAGTACAAGGATAATGCAAAAATCTCAAAAGTCACTATAATGAAAGGTTAATTAGCTAGTTTTCTTCATTACCATTACAAGTGAATCAAACACGGCGCATTAGAGAGGCTTTAATTGCATAATAACTATTTAATTAGTAACTTTTAAGTATGTAATTATTTCTAAAAGTTGCGCAACTCCAAATGCCAAGCAAAATGTGGAAACGTACATATATATAATTAAGGGAAACTTACACAAATGTCCCAAATAAATCTCAACTTACCAACCTCTAGCCATTAGTCATAGACTTACCAAAACTAGCCAACAAAAATTGAAAAATCAAATAATAGAGTTCTTTCTCTCAAAGAATCACATGCAAAAATCACCTTCCATATTTTTAAGCGTGATTAGCAACATTTGATACAAGACGGAGAGGAAATTTCATGGACGGGGTAGCAAATAAGGTGATGAAATACAAAAATTTATACAATATTCCAAAAATCTAAACAAAAAGGAAACTTTTTCAATGGGTATAGTTGAAATTCATTGAAAATATATAGATAAGTCAATATACAAAATTTGAGGAAGATTGGAGGTGATTTGGACTGGTTTTGTATCAAAATTCGTAATTAAATCGAGTTCAAAAAAGTCTTCTGCGACACGTGTATCGAACATGTATCACACACACAGGTATACATGGATATACATGTGATACACAATTGATACAAATATGATACATATGTGATACACAAATGATACACAGTGTGATACACATATATTTTTTTTCATGTTCAGCTTTTACTTCGAATTTTCAATTCAAACCACCTCAAAACTTCACCAAATCATCCCAAAACTGAGATTCAAGCTCCTTAAGTTGTGCCCAATCTATTCTAATAACACCCACTCAAAACAAAGCAAAAATTTGATATTTTTTGCTACAAATAGCTAATTGGCTAATTTGGCTAATATTAGTAATATTTTATCAATTGGCCAATTTTTGTAATGAACTACTTATAAATGGACATAGCTGGTAATTTCCCTATAATTAATTAAACAGTAGTAACTCTTTATTGTCTTGCTAATTGTAACTTACAATTGGATTTTAGTCCATACAAGAACTTATAACGTATATTTACATATTTGTACAATAATAACAAATTGAATTTGTGTAATGAAAGGGTAAAATGGTCAATCAACATTTGAAGGAGATTTTAATAAAATAACTTCCATTAAAAGTTTTCACACTTATAATATAGTACGATATGATATGATTAGGGAAGGAGAGCTGCACGACGTCTCTGTGAAGGAGAGGAAAGAGCAACGTTGGGTTTTAAAGGCCAAAAATGTAGATGATAAGATAGATTCACCGACGAAATGCACAATGTTAAAATAGATGTGTAGTCATAGCAACGTTACTTGAGATTAGAAATTATCAGTTCAGACAATATAAGATAAGATAGACTTAAAATCAAAATGAAATAAGTTGTCTTGGAAGACCTCCAATCTCTCAAAATTCATGTTAACTTTGATAAAAGCGTTGGAAATGAAAATACAGTCGCTATATGGGCAATACGAAGCAATTGGGTTTAAAGTAGTCATGACTGTACATTTACATGAAGTATTTGCTAGAACTGGAAATACTTACTTCACAATCAAAAATTATTGAAAACATGTGCTGCTAGATAACCTGAATCTAATACTGATAATAGAAAGAAGTCAAAATGAGCCAAATAGATAGTAGAAATTCAAGCAGATCCCAACTAACTTGACAATAAGACATAGTAATTGTTTGGAGGGAGGGTGAAGTGGGGGAGAAACGCGAGTTGTTATATCATCTCTCTATTTCATGGTGCATTGTTCACTGGTAAAGGTGGTAAAAACGAAAAGGCCTGGCACCTTCAGTAGTTACTTTCATAAGAATCAAAACTACCCATGGTTGAAATGTTATGGTAAAAATGAATTTGTAACAACAAATTTCATTCCTCTGAACTGAGTAGTGAACATTAAGCCATGTGTCTTCCTCTTTCCCTACAAGGATTATTAAATCAGATGAGGTATGAGGAATTGGCATACAAAAGCCTGTCTGCGTTTGAGTGTAAGGATGATAAGTGACTGATATTTCAACAACAATTAGTTCAATTTGTCCCTGTAGAAAGTTGCAGTGAGCCTGAAGTTGATCCCAAAATTACATATGGAGAATATTTACACACTATGGTTTCAGTAACGCGCTGCCAAAGCTATAATATCCATGCATCAAATCATTCAAGCAGCAAAAGATGACTTAGCAGCAAGATGTGTGAGGGAGCGTCTGTGGTAACTGCATCCCAGTTTTTTGTACTTCTGCACGAATGTTGTAAGATCAATTTCTCGATCAAGAAGTTGGCCAAGCATGGCTTCAGATTCCTCCTCTGTTTTCTTCATGGCATCTGTAGCAATAGCAACATCAGTTAACGGTCTTTCATTTTCTGGCAAGTGATTTTTCAGTTATCTAATCTCATTAAAAATCCATGCTTAATCATCTCTCCAATATTCCAAGGGCAACTTCAATTTTGTATCTCAAAAATGGTATTAATTACAAAAAATAAACCCAAAAGAAAAAATGACATGATCACTGAGTAACCGGAGTTCCTTAATTACTACAATCCAGCTTTTATTCACATAATCATTTAGGAAGTCGTGCGGTGGAAAGAGGCATCTAATAGACACTCCAAATTGGAAATTCTTTGTTGATCTACAAATCAATGCCCTTATTCCCCAACACTTACCCCCAACATAACACCACCACCAAGAACAAAGTAACAATGTGAACTAAATTGAGCATAAGCTATTAAGCTAAAATTCCTGATCCTACATATAGTTGCTCAAATTACATGGAACTTCTGCAAGAAGTGAGGAAAAGTTTCATTGCCAAATTAAAACCCGATAATCTTAAGATGGTGTTTAATATATCTGAGTGTTATAAAGGGTGTTCGTATCTACCCATCCTTTTCCAGGTGACGAGAGCATGCGAAAAGAATATTAGCAATTTTGAACTTCATCAAAATAGAATGTTAGCAATTTTGAACTTCATCAAAATAGAATGTTAGCAATTTTGATTCAGTCACCCTTCACTAGCAGCTTAAATCATCACTGTTAGGGCAATTTAGGTTTGTGAACCGCCATAGCAAGAATTTCAAAGATATTTGGAGTTGGAAATGTAGGCCCATTTTAACAGTTGAAGTGTTTTGCCCAAAGAGAAAGAAAAAAGAGTTGAACTGAGCTCCTGACAAAGAATGGATAGCATTGAGGTGTAGAAAAGAAAAAACAAAGGTAGAAAAAAAAAATTGAACCAAGCAGAATACTTGGACACAATCTGATGATAACATTCATATGGATGGCATTTGTTCATTAGGACATAATGAAAAATGTTGTAGAGTGTACTAATCTAAAAAGTAACTGAATATTGGAGTAGAGCGAAAACTGATTGAGAGAAAGTAATATTTTTGCAAAAAGTTGAGGAAAATAAGCATATTGTCAAAGTAGATCAAGAGGACACCAATGAAGAACGCACCTTAAAAGTTGAGCATTATAAATAGTAAGAAGGCATTAGTGACATAGTGGTCGTGTTTGTGCACATTGTTATATTCCAATTTGGATATTTCTTTTTTATAAAGGTGGTGTTCTTGCCAGCTGCGCACACCCCGACCTGCTATCTCCCACCAGACATCGGTAATTCTGCCTACCAAGGCTTAGCCAGATAGGAAAAATTACCTAGGGTTTCTCGTCTCTGCAGGGATTTAAACCCTGATCTCCCATGATTTTTTTGTTTTTAATTAAAGACAGCCTAGCATATGAAGCGGTTAAGAAGAAATATTAAACGTACACACGCTATTGAATTATGACCATTCTGTGAAGCTCTAGCAGAAAGCCCTAGAGGATTTAGAAGAACATTAGCAATTTCAGATATATCATGCAACATAACCGAGTCATCAAAGCACTCTCTATGTCAAGCTCTTACTATGTCTACACCTGAAAAGTTTCTTTCGACCAGTCTAATTTAAATGCTGACTTGACTCCTACGGGGCTGTTCACTCAACGTGTTGAAGTGAAGCCTCATGAGAATAGTACCCTAAAAGTCTGCTATAGCCCTGTTAATCTAAGAGTAGTTCAAATTACTTTACCCATGCAAAAAGAATAGCTAAAATTCTAAAAGAAGGAAAAAAGTATACAAGTTTATGTGCTTCCACTTTTTACCTTGTAGGTGATGGAGGAGTGATAAAGGGGAGTACAACTTCAGAAGCTCTTCTTTTCTCCTTTCTAGCTCATGCAGCTTTTCTTGAGCAGCAGCCAATTCAGTTGTGCGGATGATTCTACACTGTAAACAAAAATAATGGAGGGTACATGTAAGAAGTTTCCACTATCAGTGCTTTGATACTGAAAGGTTAAAACTGCTTTTGAAAAAGAAGTCAATACCCTAGAAACAATGTGAAGTATCTGACCTGATTCCTGAGCTCCATTATCCGAGGTTCTTTTTCTAAATTCTCCCCTGTATAAAATAGTTCACTCTAAATCTATCTGCAATACTAGTCGATAAAGCATTATGTATAATAAGGCAAAGAGCAATGTATAACTTACTTGCAAGCTGCAGAGTTTCATTCCGAAGCTCGTCCTTGACCTGATCAGAATTGGGGAAAACAGTAAGAGTAACATGTTACCACAAAAATCAACATAGAGCTGGAACAAAACATTACATCATGATCATGGTGACTATAACTGATAAAAAAGTTTTCTTCCTCCCTTGATATTCCCTTTATAACAGGCGTAAGACATGAGGATCCACAATCATACGGGGGTAGAAAGTTCAATCTAGTTCATTTTGGCAAGGTAAAAAAAGGAAGCAAGAACACGGCCACTGAACTCTGAACGTGCAAGTAATGATAGTTGAGTTGTATGAGGTGGGGTTACCAAAAAGCAATAATGCGCACTTTTATGGATAAAGATTTTAAGCAACTTGAATTGCTTGAATACATTATGGCATCATGAAGGTAAAATCCCACACAAACAGAACAACAAAATTCAGTCATCTCACACGTAAAACTTGATTCCTTACTACCAGAAATAGAACCTCACTCAATTTTTCATTCAATTTGACATATGTATAATTTGGTGGAGCATAGTACCTTATTTGAGAAAATGAGAATGTATCAGATCCATCGCGTATGCTTAACAATCAAAGTGAACAAGGTAAACACAGAGCAGGAAGAAACAAATAATTATACTACTTACTTTACTCTGAGTTTTGACAGCCTCAAGTGAAAGTAAGAAGTTGCGATAAGCACCATCGTCAGAAAGAAGCTTCCGTAGCTCATCAACACTGAATAAATTAACAAGAACGCATATAGAAAATCAGGAAGTACAAGTGCAAAGAAGAATGAGGAAAAATGCTAAGCCTTTCACTTAATTGTTTAATCACCGAAAAATATAAGTCTTCATCTTTCTTTATCAGGAAAAAAACTCTTTCTCTTTTTTTCTTTTCCAATCCCAAGTACAAAAATTAGATGATCAAGTCATGAAATATTTGCTGACATTTCTGCTGGCAGAAGATACTGTAAAGTCAAAATGATATTTCACAGATAAAACTTATTAATATTAACATATACTCAGAACATGCACGAATGGTGCATTAAAGGATGCCACTAAATTCTCCTTCTACATGTTTTCTCGGATACTAATGATAAAACTAAAATATATATGCTCTTTCATGTACCAGAAAGATGTCCCTGACTGTGAAGTGAATAATGATGATCTATTTTAGATAGAAAACATATATCTTGATTAACGCATTTCCTATCAGCCAGCCTCTCTGCATGTATTGCAAGGATTCTTCTACCAAATGACAATATCTGTACTAAGGCACAGATTTTCCCAATGTACTCCAGTTCATTGCACAAATTGTTGCTTCGTAATTCCCCAAAAGATAAGATAGCAAAACTCTTTTATGAAAGAGCATTCATCTACACTCAAAAAGGTTGATTCCAAAAGCATACTTGTATCACCACCACTATAGAGTTTTCAGGATTTGTGTTCACATTAATATATCGGAAACACCAAAATATATTGATTTTCATATCTAGATGGTAAATTAAGCTACTCTTGATAATCAGATAGGAAATGCAGAGAGATTCTTTGTTACAAATCCCAGCAAGTTCAGAACCTAATTCCTGTAAAAAGAAAGACTGCAAGAACTGTATGCTAAATTGTAATCAATGATCCTTGCTTTATAAATGTAATTGCTTTCGCATATCAACTAACATCTACCTCTTATCTTTTAAAGCAGCAATGATGCCAGCAGCCTCTGCTGGAGAAACATGGGACACAGAGCTTGGCCTGTTTGTTGGCCTCTGCACATTAAAGCTGCCAGACGAGCTTGAACTAGGGGTTGCAGGGCGGGAAGAACTTGGTGAACTGACTACAGATGGCGAATACATTGAACCATTATTAGCTTCCTGAGGATGTGGCTGAGCTTGTTGCTCTTCAGAACCCCTGTAACATGTACAATAGAGACACAATGTGAGAACGGGTACAAAGAACTCATGTAGTCGACACCACCTAATTTAGGATTGAGGTGCATAACTGAAGTAAGAATGGGTACAGAGGACTCATGTGGTCGACACCAACTAATTTACAATTGAGGGGCATAATTGATTAATCGAGATATGTATGCCGAAGTCTTAAAGATAACTCAGATTAGAAGTTAATGTCGTATATTCTACTTACAGTACAGCATGCCACGGTAGCACTTAAATCAAATCAAGCTATGCTATAACTAGAGCCACATCCACTGAAGGGGGTTCAATTCAATTCACCTCCATTAGAAAATTGGACTGCGCAAATAGGCCAAAAACAATTTTTCCGTGTATGTATACTTTTGAATCCCCTTGACTTACTATACGTCGCAAGTTTTGAAATTTTTGAATCCCTTTGTTAAAATTCCTGCTCAGCTACTAGCTATAATCACACATCCAATTGAAATTACATGGATATCAGCGGTGATCCAACAATAGGTCCAATGCAATATATATGTGCGAAAACAAGTATAGATAAAGTTAGATATACATTTCGTAACACACACACACACACACACTCAACAGTGTCTAAATCCAGGATCTACCTATGGTGGACATAAGTTTCAACTTCTTAAATAACACAATACGGAATAGCAAATTTAGCGCAGATTCTTCAAAATTAACCGAAAATTAGAAAAAAGTAAGAAAAACCAAAAACAAACGAACAATTCAACTACGAAACGCGATCATAAGATTGAGAAGTGAAAAAGGAAGTAAAAATCCGTAAATCTGAAAGAAATAATATTACCAGAATCTGAACATATGAGACGTATGACGCAAGCTATGCCTTTGATGATCGGATTACAAAACGCTGTTACCTTTCAATTGACTGATTTCCTTTCAGATTTCGAAGAAAGAAAGAGCTTCTCAATTTCGTTTCTATTTTCCGTTATTGTTTTTTTTTATTTCTTTTCCTTCTTTTCATCTTTTGTATTCCCTTGGTTTAACTATTTTATAATACGGTAGCAATGGCCCCTTATGCTTTGGGAGTAAATTTAAAATGGCCCCTTAAGTAAATTTATGCGTTATTTTGATTCATTAAGTTTGTTAAAAATGAATACTTCTTGGGTGTGTTTGGCATGAAGGAAAATGTTTTCCTACAAAATATTTTCATAAAAAATGAATTGTTTTATCACTTATCTACCTTTGTTTGTGTAACGACCCTGCCGGTCGTTTTTAGAATTTACGCCTCGATCCCCTATTAACTGCTTTTCCCAAGTTTATTTCTGCTATTTTGAATTGCCGGGATGGTCGGTTTTGAATTTCGGATAGTTTTGGGCCACTTAGTCCCTAAATGAGAGCTTAAGTGTTGGAAAGTTGACCATAGTCGGAACAGTGTGAACACGGCCTCGGAATTAAGATCCGATGGTTCCGTTAGCTCCGTTGGGTGATTTCGGGTTAAGGGGCCTGGTCGGATTGTGTTTTGGAGGTCCGTAGCTAATTTAGGATTGAAATGCCGAAAGTTGAATTTTTGAAGTTTCCGGTTCGATAGTGAGATTTTTGATCCGAGGGTCGAAATGGAATTCCGAGAGTTGCAGTAGTTCCGCCATGTCATTTGGGATGTATGTGCAAAATTTCAGGTCATTCGGAGGTGGTTTGGTTGGGTTTTTGATCAAAAGCGGAATTCGAAAGATTTTGGAAACTTAGGCTTGGATCCGATGTGTTTTGGTTGATTTGATGTCATTTGAGGTGTTTTAAAGATTGGCACAAGTTTGAATAGGGTTTTAGGATATGTTGATGCCTTTGGTTGAGGTCCCGGGGGCCTCGGGTGTTTCGAATTCTCAACGGATCATTTTAAGTTGTAAAAATATTGCAGATTTTGTTCAGCTGTTGCAGAGGAATTTTACCCTTCGCGTTCGCGATGAGTCAGTTGGGGAAGGTGAAATTTAAGCCTTCGCGTTCGCGAGGGAGGCACCGCGTTCGCGAAAGGCTAAGTGTTCGTGCATCGCGTTCGCGGGACGGGCATCGCGTTCGCATAGAGTCCTTTGGTCAGCTGGGTCTGAGGTCGAATTTGTTCATCGCGTTCGCGAGAGTGGGAGTGCGTTCGCGAAGGGTAAGCTTGAGGAAACATCGCGTTCGCGAGGGTCTTGTCGCGTTCGCGTAAGAGGATTTTAGTCAAAGTCATTTTTGTGCTTCGCGAACGCGAGGCTTTGACCGCGTTCGCGAAGAAGGATTTAAATGCCTGGGCAGAATGTTTTAAAAGGTCTATTTCGCGAATTTTAGCCTAGGTTCCTCCATTGTTAGGCGATTTTGAAGCTTTTTGAAGAGGGTTGAAGAGGGATTCAAGGGGAATCACTTGGAGGTAATATTTTTGACTTCATAACTCGTTTTTATGTGATTAAGACCTAATTAGTGGTGGAAAATTTGGGAGAAATGGATAATTAGGGCTTGAGTTTAAGAAACCTAGAAAGGGGTATTTGAGGGGTCAATTGAACTCCGATTTTAGTGTTCTTGTTATGCATAGACTCGTGAGAGTATGAGGATTCCGAAAATGTAAATTTTACCCGATTCCGAAACGTGGGCCTGAGGGGCATTTTGGTCATTTTACCTAATTTCGCATATTAGCTTAGAATTTAATTATAGAATCAGTTACTTGAAGTGTTATTTACGATATGCAATTGAATTGAATAGATTTGGGCCATTTGGAGTCGAGTACTCGTGGCAAAGACGTGGTATCGGGTTGATATTGAGCCGGTTCGAGGTAAGTGGCTTGTCTAACCTTGTGTGGGGGGCCTTCCCCTTAGGTTTGATATATTTGGCAATTGAGATGCCTTGTACGTGAGGTGACGAGCGCGTACTTGTGCAAATTATTGGAAATCCGGTTTTATTTAAGTACTTATTAGTATGTTTCTTCTCCTGCTTATATTACTTGTACTATTAAGCCTGTCGTTATCTTAGGAAAGCATGTCTAAGTGATTTAATTGCTTTAATTGTCCAATCTGTTTACCTGAACTCTGCAGCGTGCTAGGCTAGAATTATTTGTTGCCTTGATATGAAATTTCCCTTCTCTGAATATTTTTCTTGCTGTTGCTGTGTATTTACTTTGGGACTACGGGTTAGACCCTTGGACAAGGTTTCTCCAAACTTTTTCAACAAAACTGACTCGATTTCATCAATCTTCGAGATCGTTTCCCTTAATCGCGCATGTGTATGCTGTCACATGCTCGTTTGGGTCCGAGGTCCCATTATACTTCGGGATATCGGGCATTCTAAATTTCTTAGGGATAGGTTTTGGGGCGGCACTGGATGGGAACGGTTTTTGTACAAACTTTTTTAGCGTCAAGGCCTTTCAGGACCGGAGGTGCACCTGGTATTTGGTCGACCCTGGAGTTGTATGTTTCTACTTTTTTATTGTTGCCCTCGATCTTTCCTCCCCCTTTTCGATTCGTTCGGTCAATTCTTCTAGCCTCCTAAGAACCGCAGAATCAGCATCCGGCCACCCCGTTCCGGCTGTACTGGGGTCGGATTGATGATTGCAGCTGCACGGGGTAGCCTCCTCGGACCTGACAGGCTCCTGGACCCGGCTCTGGAGCTGAGCTATAGCCGATTGCTGGGCTTGCAGCATGTCAAAAATCATTTTAAGGTTGATAGTCTCTTCGCCGACTGCCTGGGCCCTCGAATCGTCCTCTCCCCGGACGCTATGTGATGATCCGGAGGCCTGATCAGTGTTGAGCGCCATCCGGGAATCGGCATCTATCCCGGGCATTCCATTGTTTCCTGTCTGCTGTTCAGTTTACGTGTTGATTGATTGTGCCATTCTATGAGTTGGTAATTTGAATGTAAGATGGACTCTTTTGTAAAGAACCAGTGTATTGTGATGCGTCAAGAAAGA